ATTTTATATAAATTATTTTAATAATGACAGTCATGGCTTGGAGTGTTGTTTCATTATCAGAATGTTTAACACTCATGTCGCTAAATATTAGCACCTGATATTTTGCAGAACAATTCCCGTGCCTTTTTTTGTCAGTCTTCTGCTCTCCTCTACTCTGCCCATCACTCACTTAGGCAACAAGAAGGATGGACTCTAAAAACAGACTAAATCAGTGTGATTATTTTGCTAATGAGTCTCGCCATTAAGTCTCCAGGTGTTTCCCAATCTATCAGCTTTCTTTAGTCCACCTTAGAAAATAAAATTGTCCCCTGATTTTGAATGCTGAGCACTGATTCCAGAGTCCCGGAAGGAATGATTGGGAGGACGCTGGCTGACCTGTGACTACCAAATAACAAACAGCTGTAACACCAGGCAGGGAGAATTACTGTAAAAGGAAGAAAGTGCTGTCAGCCTCTCTTAACACGGTGACAGGGGGTTTCTCAGACCTCACAGAACTTGCCACAACAACTAAGAAAGCCAAGTGAAGAAAGAGATAGAAAAGAAAACACCAGGAGTTGGAAAACATCACTGAAAATGAGAACAAATCTCAGTCATTTCCTAAGCTAGGTCTCCGGAGCTGTTCTGCCATTACCCCAGCAGGAGACCAGCCAGACTCATAAACAGAAATCAGCTGTGAAGTATACCCAGTTGTTTTTGTTTTTTTCCTTAATAAAGTTAGGGAAATGTTTTCTTATCTTTGAGCTGACAAGTTTTGTAACCCTATAGGTTAGGGTTTCCAGATCCCAATTTTTAGGTCGCCTCATGCTCCACTAGCCCCTCTGATTAAACCATCCATGGTAAATTAGGGAGAAAATTAATACACAGCCATAACAAATTCAGCTAATCACCCAAAAGGCGCCCTCAAGGCTCTGTAGGATGCTGTCTGTGCTAAAGGTAAACAGAAGTCTGAGGTAAGAGTGTGCAATAGAGTGAGAGAAATCCAAAGTGGGTTTTCATGGCCAGAGGGTGGCAAAGTCACCAAGGGACTCATCATACTGATATGTGTGTGTGGTGGCATGGGGACACACACTGGTCTTTGGAGTTCTCTGTACGGGGGGAGGTATGGGCAAGACGAAAGAGGCACTGCAGACAGGAAATTCTCTCCAAACCCTTCTGACATCTTCCCCACCAAACCCAACAGGAGTGCCCCTGTGCTGACTCCTAAGCCCTGGAGCGCCACCTACTGGGTGAGGCAGAAACTACAGCCCCTTTAGGTCTTGCTGGGTGTGCATTCATTGGTTCACGCAGGCAAGCATTCATTCAGACATGTATTAAGGGCCTAAAATGAGCCAGGGCCTGGACTAGGAAGTGGGGATGAAGAGATGGGATTGGGCCTCAGAAGCCCCATTCAGTATGCTCCTTGGACTCCTTCAGTCTAGGCCTTATACACAGAAGAACCCACCTCGGGCAGTTACCTCAAAGAGAAAACTGAAGGAAGAGTCCTAAGTCATCACCAAGACTCAGAGATGGCTCCAGGGGCTACTGGGTCACCATTGCATTTGCAGAGTACTATACCTGCAGAGGAGCATCTACCTGTAGAGAACAATTCTCCACTTAATATGAGGTAGAAATGTCCAGTCTTAGGAGACTACAATACCAATATTATTCTGCAACACACTGGGCCCCCAAAGTGCACTAGGCTCTTGTGTAATTTACAAGAGCTTTTCCCTATTGTGTTTGTGTGTGTGTGTGCATTATGCACTGAACACTATTAGCATGTGCTCTATTGAAATGATGAACTGATTCTTATAGTCTTGTATATAGTATTCTGATATGCTGCAAAATATCTGAGCAATACTAGGAACAATATTTTGAACTTCAGTCGTCCTCTTTCTCCAGTTTCCTTCATGCAGTATCCAGAGAAAGAGAAGCTAATGCCATGCTTTCTTTAACCTGCACAAGCTGAGGTGCAAGCAACATTGGCCTTTGACCATTTATTTGTAAAGAGAGTTAACTATGATCATTATTATTCCTTTATTATAATTACTATTCTGCTGTGTTGCCGAGTAGTTAAAAGGAAAGCACACTGTGTCTTCCACTCCCAGAACATGTTTCTCCCCTCTTCCCTGCCTCCAGCAGATGAGGGACATACCAATGTTTTATTTGTTAAATGCTTGACTATTAAGAAACTCATTTGCTAGCTGTAGACCAAAATGGAAAATCAGCCCAGAAAAGTGGAAGGATAGGGTGGGACCAAGCAGAGAGGGCAGTAGGGGTGAGGCCTACATGAGCCATTTCCAGCCTGAAACCCAGGGCCAGAAGCCTGTCCTTCAGGGAACTTACAGGCTGTTCCCATGCACGGACCACCACCTCCATGCCTGGACTCTCAACACACACACACACACACACACACACACACACACACACACACTAAAGAGAGAGAAGCTGGGAGAGAAAGGGCCGATGTGGTCAGTGCCTTTGAGCCTGTCAGGAAGAGGAGCCCCGCCACTGGCAACTTTTTCAGTTCTCTCTTCTTTGGTTCCTCATCATCACTGCTCTGAGGTAATCATTTGGTTTCTCCTCTCTCTCCTGAAATTCTAACCCCCAATTATGTTTCATTGCCCCTTTGGTTATTAACTCACAACAGCCCCTTCCTTGTAAATATTTATGCTCTTCCGAGTCTGCTTCTCCCCACCTTTGTCACCCTTCTCCTTTCTCCCCCCAAAACACCTGGGCCATGCCAAAGAGGCAGAGAGAGGGGGTGGGAAATGGAGGGAGACAGGGATCCTGGTGCTCCTTCACCTGAAAGCCGCATCCAGGAATGGAGGCAAAATCACTCCTGTGAATTATATAATCACTGCAGCTTCTAGGGAGAGAACTGGAATCCAGGTTGCCATAGTGTTCGTAGGCATGTTGCTGGAAAGGCAGAGCTCCCAGCCCTGCCTGCTCGCTCCCTTCCCCTCCATCTTTGCACAAACCTCTCCAGGGTCAGCTCCTACTTTTGTCTGCTCCCTGCATGTGTGTGTGAGGAGGGGGCTGCTGGGGGACAAAGGGGCAAAAGAAAGGAAAAGGGCTAAGAAGGGGTTTATCCTGCACTAAGAGGAGCGCTTGTGAACTATTTAAGGTTATCATTATGTGAATAATAATCATTACCACAGTACACTGCCATTGTTAGTAGAGTAAGAACAATACTACTGCGCTCTCCTCTTCAAGGCGGCTTAAACTGAGCTGAGAACTTGGAGGGGAGAATACCACCCCTGCTCTTCACAAATATCACCCTTTCCTTGGTGTCTCCCATTCCCTCCCTCCTAATCCATCCACTATTCCAAGAGCTAGGAAAGGGACGGGGAACAGGTGGGGGTTGGGACACGGGGTAGAGAAACCAAGGGACAGAGCTGCCTTTGTGACCCCAAAGCCCCAGCTTACCCTAGGACTCATGTCTCTTGACAAAATTCTTCCTCCCGAAAGAGGCCAAAATCCCCACACTGCCACCCAAACTCGATAGCAGAGGGACAATTAGCTCCCAAATCAGTTTCGGGATGGAAGATGGATAGAGACCAGGCAGGTAGGGTGCCTGGCAGCCTCTGGCTCTAAAGCAGGGATGGGGAACCTTTTTCTCCACCAAGGGCCATTTGGATATTTATAACATCACTCAGGGGCCATACAAAATTATCAACTTAAAAATTAGTCTGCTATATTTGGCCAAACATTTAATTAACTCACTCCTAATGCCTTGGCAGGGCCAGACCAAATGATTTCGCGGGCCTTATAAGGCTGGCCCGACGTTCCCCACCCCTGCTCTAAGGGTAGGGGCACTGTCCCCAAATGGTGGAAATGGGGGCAAAAGAAAGAAGGAGGCTGGCAAAAAGAAACATGGAGACAGCCCCTCCCCCAGGCTGGTCCTCAGAGGATCACTTGAAGTACCCCAATAAGTAACAGGACCAACAGCGACAGGTATTCGGGAGGAAGAGATGGTACGGAAGAGTGTAAACAGGGAGGATTGGGAAACTGGAAGAGAAAAAGGAGCGGCAACACCCAAAGAGACAGAGAAAGCCTTGGAAAACAGACAGGGAGAGAGCCGGAGGCTGCCACCCTGCAGCCAGACCACCCCTCTACGCTCCATCGTGACCTTAATTGCTGAGTGATGCCAAAAATAATAACTTGTTAATAAGGGGGGCGGGGGAGAAAGTTTCCAGGAAGTGGGGAGTTACTTGAAAGCCTTTCTCCCCTCACAGGGGGAGCTGGTGACACTTGATGCCCATGATGGAGATGCTTGGAGAACACTGGGCAACAGTGTGGAGCCCTGTGAGCTGGGCACACCTTTTAATTATGTCCTTAAGACATGAAAAAGCAAAGCCCACACACCTCCCGACTCTTACCGCTTCCATCCTCAGGTGCTAGCCTATATATATGTGGGTGCGAATAAGAACACACGGGGCGTGGGCACCCTCGGGGTCAATGACAGTGGCGAGGCGGATGGGTGTAGGTCAGCGGTGGGGGTGAGGCGCAGACTCACATCTGCATCCGCGGCTCCCTGAGCGCGCAGCCCAGAGCAGGGGCCCCTGGAAGCCAGTGGGACGCCGGGCGGCGGCCCGGGCGCGGGGCCGGCCTGGTGCGGGGTGCGCGCGCGCGCTCCCTGCCGCGCCCCGAGCGAAGCGAGGGACCCCAGCCGGCAGGGTTGGAGGACGGCGGCGCCCCTTTCCCTACGCGCGGCGGACCGGGCAGTTGGGCTTTCCAGGCAAACCTGAAAAAGCGAGGCAGAATCAGACACTTGGGGAACTTTTCCCCCTCGCCTGGAATTTCATAGGAAACACATGCGCCGAAGAAGCCGGCACGAGAGGGGGAGGGGCGGGAATTTTCCGCTCGGTCTCGCGGGGTGTGGGCCTGGGTCCCGCCGCTCGGGCGAGGCGGAGGCGACCCAGGCAACTCCGCAGGGACCGTCCCCCGCGGCGAGCCGGAGCCGGGCGGGGAGGTCCGGAGCCCGCGCCAGGGCCTTGGCCAGGCGGTGGGGCCAGCCTTACCTTGGTGGTTTTCCTCTGGGATGTACATCCTCGTGTTTTCATTGACCATCCACCAAAAATTGTTCTAAAAAGCGAAGAAGCCACAAAGAGGCAGAAATGTCAAAACACCCTCAGCGGGTCTGGATTAATCCCTCCTCCGAGGCTGGCGGCTTTCGTGCAAAATTCAAGGAAGCTGTGGAGCTGCGGTGTTTCTTCTTCCCTTCTGATGATTACCTGATTCCCATTATTGCATCAAACACCAAAAACTGCTCCTTTCCACTATTGCCTCCTCGAGTGAAATTGTAATGCATCCTCAGTACATCCGGGCCCCTTCCAAGAATTTAGCCCCGCACCTCTGGCGGCTTCACCGTTTGAAAAAATCAACCAAGGGAGGCGGCGCGAGAAGAGGCAGAGAGGAGGGGCGAGGGCAGCGACGGACCCCAGACCAGGAGGGCCCGAGGGGCAGAAGAGTCTCGCTGCTCAGGCCAGACCCGAGGCCCCGGCTCGGCTCCGCTGTGTCAAGAAGCTCCCGCAACTCCGGAGGCGCGGAGGCAGGAAGAGGCTCCGCCGCTCCGCGCCGAGCGCCGTTCTGGCAGGAGCTGTTTCTGCAGAGGCAGAGAGAGGGAGACACGGGCACGCGAGAGCGCCGCGCTCACCGCCTCCAGCCCAGCCCGCCGCCGCGCCCGCGCCCGCGCCCTCCCCGCCCGCCCGGCGCGCTGGAGGCAGACGCGCTGAACGCTTCCAGATGTGGCGCGGCGGCGGCGGCGGCGCGCGGAGACCGGGCGCACGACGCAGGGCGCACGGCGCGGACCGAGCCCCTGGTTGAGCACAAGCTCGGCCCTCGGCCACGCCGCCGACCAGCCCTGCTGCCCACATGACGTCAAAAGGGCGCAGGCTAGGTGCGGGCCTGGAAAGGGCGGCCGTGGGGGCTGCGCGCGGCGCCCCCCGGGGGCGGGGCGTGGGCGGACGTGGGCGCGGGCGCCGCATGGACACCCGTCTTGCGCCCCGCCACCTCCAGCCACCCGCCCCAGTTATCCTGGGCAGCACAAGCGCATCCCTGAGCGGCCATCCACGACGGGAAGGCCTCTGTGAGCGGAATTCCAACAGGGGGGACTACAATCTGCCCAACTACCAGTCTCTTTGCATATCGGGCCACTGAACAAAACTGCAAAATGAGCCGTGATTCCGTGATTCTGTCTGATCAATTATAATCAGGGCGGTTGTAGAAGTCACATATGAGGAGGAGAGGATGAGGGGAGGGGAGAGAGAAAGGGCGGGAGGGCGGAGCCACCTAGACAAGGCCGTGGTGCCCAGATGTGTCAACAGATTAATGGACCCAGGTTCTCTAATTCCTTGGAGGCAGTGGAGCACGTGCCCTAGTCTGAAGTGGTCGGCAAACTCATTAGTCAACAGAGCCAAATATCAACAGTACAACGATTGAAATTTCTTTTGAGAGCCAAATTTTTTAAACAAACTGTATAGGTAGGTACATTGTTATTAACTTAATTAGGATACTCCTAAGGCTTAGGAAGAGCCACACTCAAGAGGCCAAAAAGCCACATGTGGCTCAAGAGCCGCAGTTTGTCGACTGCGGCATCCTTACCTGCTTCTCTTAATTATGTTTGCCACTCTGGCAGGAATCTACTGAGCCCTCTCCTTCCAAAGAAGTGACCATTTCTCTCCACCTCTCATTTCTGCCACAGCAAGTTCCATGGCACCCCCTGCAGGCCCGGGCTCCTCTAGAGAGGGTTTCCTAAGCCCAGGCAGGGCAGCCCACAACTCCCTCTTGGGAGCACCTCCATCTTCCGGCCCTCTGACCTCCCCACCTCCCGTCCACACTCATTCCCGGGATGATCCTCTCCATCTCCATGAATTAAAGCAGCTGTCTATATCCAGTTTGTATCTCCAGCCCAGACCTCTCTTCCTGAATGCCAGCCAACCTCGGTCTCCACTTGGGTGTCTAATACACAGCTCAGACCTAACATATCCAAACACCAAATCCCTTTTTCTTTGCAAAACCTGCACCTCACACCGCCTTCCCCATCGAATTTGATGGGGCAAACGCCTGAAATCATTCTTGACTCCTTTCATCCTCCCACATGTAATCCTTCAGGAAATCCTCTTGGTTCTACCTTCAGATAAATCCTCTTCTCCGTGTCTCCCCTGCTGCCCCCAGGTCTGAGCCAATATTGTCCTTCATGTGGGTTCATGCAGAAGCTGCTCTCCCTGCTCTCCCCACCTCCATCCCCACCCCTACTGTGGTTTGTTCTCAATAAAACTGAATAATCCATTTAAAATGTCACATCACAGCACTGCTCTGCTCAAAGCCCTCCAATGGTTCCCCATTTCACTTAGGAAACACCAAGGCCCTTAGAGCAGCCTGCAAGGACCCACATAAACAGCCGTGCACAACTTCTCTTGTCTTTTCCTCTCCTATTGCTCTCCCACTTGTTTCAACCACACTGGTCTCCTTTCTGTTCCCCAAAGACTTCAGGAATATCTCTCTCTCTCTCTCTCTCTCTCTCTCTCTCTCTCTCTCTCTCTCATCTTGAGCCCTTTCCTCTAGCTGTCCCCATTGCCCAGAACACTGTTTCCTCAGATATTCGCCTGGTGAACTCCCTTACTTTCTTCAAGACTTTACTCAAATTTCATTTTCTCCATAGGCCTCACTCTGACCACCCTGTTTAGCACTACAACATGCCCATCCTGCCCCCAGCACTTCTAATCTCACCCTGTCTCTATTTTTTACATGGCTTTTAATTCCTGTCTAACATACAATATAACTTAATTATTCATTAATTGTATTCTTTATTGTCTGTGTTCCCACTAAAATGTAAACCCATGAGGGCAGGGATCTCTGTCCATTTTGTTCACCAGTGTGTCCCAAGTGCATTGAACAAAGTCTGGCAAATAGTATGCACTTAATAAATATGTATTGAATAATGAATGAATAAATGAGTGAGTGAGATGGTTTCAGGAGTGCTGCAATTCACTGCATCAAAATGCTCCCCTATGTCCCCTGCTTGATATGTGAAACCTCACCACTCCAGCGTCATGCCCTTTGGCCAAGGGCTTTGGCCACAGTTTAAAATGCAAATAAATGTCTCTGTGAGAGGCATTAAGCTTGTCAGTCATCTTCATTCTACTGTGAACAGCAGTTTAGATTTTGTTGGTTATAAGAGAAATCTGGCCTCTTTACCATTCTGGTGGCTTCATACTTAATTTTCAACCTAATAGAAAACATAGAATGACACAAATCCAAATACCCTCTCCATTTAGCTTTAGGGTGCACTACAGGCCTGTATTCCAGAGGCCCATATACTTGATTGTCTCAATTAACATTACAATTGGTTTGCATCACCTTCATCCACTGTAGAACAGGAATAATCTACACTAATAAAAGAGAAAAATTGGCGTACGACGCTACCCTTTTCATTGGCTAATCAGGGCTATATGCAAATTAACTGCCAACTAAGATTGGCAGTTAATTGCCAACAAGATGGCGATTAATTTGCATATGTAGGCACAATGCAGGGAGGCGAAAGGGAAAGCAGGAAGAAGCCCACTGCCACTGACAGTGATCTGAAACCCAGGGAGGAGCTAAGAGCTGGGGGGCAGGGCAAAGGCGGCCCTGGGGCTGCCTTTGCCCTGCCCCCCAGCCATGATCAGAGAATCAGGCGCCTTTGCCGCCCTGGCCAGTGATAGCAGGAAGTAGGGGTGGAGCCAGCGATGGGAGCTGGGCACGGTCGAAGCTGGCAGTCCCGGGAGCTAGGGGTCCCTTGCCTGGGCCTAAAGCGGAGCCCACGATTGCGGGGCCGCTGCAGCAGCGGGTTCCCGCTGCCCAGGCCAGACGCCTAGGCCAGAGGCATTAGGCCTGGGCAGGGGCGGAGCCTGCAACTGCGGGGAGCTGGGGGTCCCCTGCCCAGGCCTGACACCTCTGCCGGAGGCCTCAGGCCTGGTCAAGGGGCCAATCAGGCGATCGGAGGGTGATGGGGGTTTACCCTCTGGCCGAGGCATCAGGCCTGGGTGGGGGGCGGAGCCGGGGATTGGAGGGATATGATGGTCCCCTTGCTCAGGCCTGAAGCCTGGGTCAGAGGCGTCAGGCTTGGGTGGGGGGTGGAGCAAGCGATCAGAGGGAGATGGGGGCCCCCTGCCCAGGCATGATTCCTGGGCCAGAGGCCTCAGGCCTGGGCGGGGGTCAGAGCCAGTGATCGGGGGGAGATGGGGGTCCCCTGTCCAAGCCTGACACCTCTGGCGGAGGCGTCAGGCCTGGGCAAGGGGCCGATCAGGCGATCGGAGGGTGATGGGGGTCTACGCCTCTGGCCGAGGCATCAGGCCTGGACAAGGGGCAGAGCCAGCAATTGGAGAGGTCTGGGGGTCCCCTGCCCAGGCCTGACGCCTGAGCCAGAGGCATCAGGCCTGGGCTGGGGGCAGAACCAGTGATGGGGGGAAATGAGGGTCCCCTGCCCAGGAGGCGTCAGGCCTGGGCAAGGGGCCGATCCTGCGATTGGAAGGTGATGGGGGGTCAACGCCTGAGGACTCCCAGTATGTGAGAGGGGGCAGGCTGGGCTGAGGGTCACTCCCCCCCACCACCACACACCCAGTGCACAAATTTCGTGCACCGGGCCCCTATAATAACTAACACTACTGAGTGCTCTGTGCTGTGACAGGTGCTTTATAGGCATTACTCACTCAATCCTCATTGCAATCCTATAAGGTAGGAAGTATTATTATTAATCTCATTTTACATATGGGAAACTGAGAGTCAGAGACTTGAGTTACATGTCCAAGGTAACCCAGCTGTAAACTGTGGAGCCTGCACTTAGGCTGGGAGTGTCGGCCTCCAAACTCTCATTCATACCATGATCCCCCTCTTGCAGGGAATAACCGAGAGTGAGCTGGGTTGGGGGCAGGGAATGAAGAGTTTAAAATGACTGAAAAATGTGCTGCAGAGAATTCACAACGAGCCAGATAACTGAGAACAGAGTGCATGTGTTGGCGGGGAAGGGGGAGGAGGGCACATGCTGGATTTATAGCCAACTTTTTCTAAAGGTAGGCACTGTATAAATCTAGCAAGTAAATATTACCTTCATGCTTCTTTAATTTCATTTTTCACTTCTCTTCTCAGCTGTGAAATGTGTTCTTTCCTTTCCAGAGAAAGGTATTTCCTAAATATTTAGTCTTGCAATGTAAGCCCATATCTCGGCTTCTAACTTTGGAACACAGCCCTTGGTGCTTTCTTTCAAGGTAACAAATTGTCAACATGACAAACAGAAACCATTCTGGATTCTGAATTGGGGATTTGGGAAGTGGTGGGACTGAGGAAGAAAAGTCTTTCTTTCTCTTTTATTGCCTGATGTAATTCTCCAGCTGAAGGTACTCTCTATTCTCTCCTTTCCCATAGTTCTTTATTTGTGCCAGTCTATTGTTATATTTCTGCATAGTATTATATTTATATATGAATGTGCCCTTTCTCTGCCCCCACTGCATTTTAAATGTCTTAAGGAAGAGAACTGTGTTCCTTTTTCTTTGTGCATAGCATAATGTTTTGTACATATGGACACTCGATGTATGTTGAGCACATGATTCACTCTAGAAAAGATTCCTTAATGTGACCACAAATGTTTCCTTTGGAAGCAATTAACATTGAATTTGTTAATTATAAGTGTACTTGTAAGAGTGAAAAGCTTGGAAACAATCTA